AGGAAGGAAGGCCCCTCTCTTTCTTTCCTTCTCCCTGTTCTCTCTCCCTAACTCTTCTTTCCTTCCTTCCCTTCTTTCTTCCATCCATCCAGTATTTTAGATTCTGCTTTGTGCCCTGCAGTATTCTAGACCCCAGGAAGCCACAGTCCCTGAGATGCACACGGCTCTGCACTGCCCTCCTGAAATCTTCAGTCATCTGGGAAGACAGAGGTGATTAAGATGGGACCCTGGCCTGCCCTATGGAGACTGGCTCTCTCACAGGACCCTGGGAGTGGACAGTGGCACATATATCATCAGTGACAATCGAGAGTCCCTCCCCCCTCCCCAGCCAGGATGCAGCAAAAGCACAAAGTGTGTGGCAGGAGAGGGAAAGGGCACTAACTCTGCATATCAGGGAGGGCTTCCTGGAGGAGACACCTGAACTGACTGTTAAAGAATGAATGGGTATGACCAGTAGAAAGGCAATGCCAGGGCAGAATATGTCGAGAGGATTCTCTTCCAAGTTTGTTTACTGAGTGGATGGATGGGTAAATGGGAGAATTAATGAATGAATGAGTTTAATTCAGATTCACCTTTTGTCAACAGAGCTGACCCTAATGTCCAAGCTCTGACACTTGCTCAGGTGGCCCTCTGCCCCTCTGGGAGAGAAAGACCCTTCTCCTCCAGCTGCCAGAGTCCTCACTAGGGCTTCGGGGTCTTCCTTAACCCCAGGAGTCTCCTGCTCAGGACCCTGGAAGCTCAAGGTTCTCCCAGCCCTGGGTTTCTCTGTCTGTAGTTTGCTCACAGCTTTCAAGAAGCAGCAGAGCCATGGAGAAGAGCATAGACCTGGGCATAAAACTCGCCCATGTCCCCTTGATAACTCCGTGGCCTTGAGCAAGCCACTGCACCTCTCTGAACTTCAGTGCTCTCCTCTGGAGAGTAGGTTGATTATAATGGTGCCTACCCCAGTAGCCTACCCATCTTTGCATATGACTTCCCCTATGAAGAGGAGGCGTTTCTTTACTACTCCCTCAGTATGCACGGTCCTGTGACTTGTTTTGACCAATAGAATATGTTGCATGTGAAGGTGTCGATTTGAAGCTTGCACCTCAAGGGACTCCCCCATTTGGAAATCTGACATCTCTGTTTAAACAAGCTGAGGCCAGCTTGCTGGATAATCAAAGCCTACACACGGCCCTCAGATAGGTGAGAAAGCCAGCCAACATCAGCAAAGCCAACACACAGATGAGCTAACAGCTGACTTCAGAAGATGGAGAGAGCTTGGCCAGTGCAGCAAAATCGTCCAGCCCACCCGAAGAGTTGGGAACTAAATCAGTACCCATTGATTGAAGCTACTCGCTCTTATGGTTGCAGCACACCATCACTGCGGCAATGTATAACTGGAATGTACTCCAAAGGGTTACTGTGAAGACGAAGTAAATCAGTAGATAGAGGGGCTTAGAGCCCGTGCCTGGTACCCAGGAGGCTCTAAATGGGTATTGCTAGGGTTATTGCTTCAGAAGTGCCTGCCCTCAGGTGGAGCTTTTCCTTGTCATCAATGTGAAGATCTGGATGAATGGCTTCCTCCCTGCTCACGATGGGGCTCTCACATGTCACCACCAGCCTGGACACCAGGACATCATTACTTAGTAGCTCTCGGGGAAATATCTTCACCTCTCTGATGTTACATTTGCCATGTGCAAAGCGGGGAAGGGGACGCCAACCTTGCAGGGTTGCTGGGAGCCTCCTGCTGTATGATCAGCCAAGTTGAGCCCACTCAGGCTCCTGCTCTGGGAAATACTGACCCATGATGCAAAATGAATTGCTGTGGGAGCCCACCTTGAAGGGCACCATCCAGGGCGGTGCACAGGGAAGGAAGGGGAGACAGGCTTGGGTGACTCTCAGTCCTGGAGGGCCTGACTCTGTCCTGTGTCCTTTCCTCAAGTCCCCTTGATTTACTTGGGGTGATTGGTTCATATCCAGACATCCCTGGCTGGTCTTTTCTCTCTCACCCAATAAAAGCTGATTATCACAGCAGCCCAGACATTTCTCAGGGAGCTGCTTTCCTGAAACATTGGGGAAATACCTGGCCTTCCCCTTGTAAGAGCCTTGTGGACAGTGACTTTGTTGTTCTTATTCATCCTGGCACCTCCTCACTGAATACGGGGTCAGGCAGATAGTTGTTGCTCAATAATCACGTGTCAAATAGCTAAATGAATGCCACACAGATGCCGACACTCATCACTCCCAACCCCTCTGTCCTGGAAGCTGTCCTTCTCCCTCCAGGATGAGCCGCAATGCTCCTACCTTCAGATCACACTGTCCAACACTGTCTCCATCATGGTCCCCTGTGCTGTGGCCTAAGGGTTGATTTGGAAACACAGATCTGATCACATCAACCTTGCTTCCTCTTTGCCCTCCACTGTCTCCTTGCTGTTGGGATGAAGACCCAAATCCTTAACGTGGCATTTGAGACCCTTGCACAGTCCTGGGTCTTGCTCCCTCTGCAGGCTCCCACCCACTCCTTGCCTTTCAGCCACGTAGGCCTTGAACTTCTTTGTGGCTGCCGAGAGCCCTCCGGCCGCTGGGCCTTTTCACATGCTATTGCCTGGTCTGAATACTCTCCCCGAGCTCCAAGCTCACCTGATAACTCTGCTTCATTCTTCAGATGGTAGCCGGGGGTCACATCTTCAGGGACGCCCTCCCGGCCTGCCTTCAAATCCCCTCGTCATGTGCTCTCACGCATCCTGAGCCTCTCGTTTGGAGCACATATCATTTTATGCTGCTTTGTGTGATTCTGGATTAGATGAATCTCTGTCTCCTCTAGACTGAGCTCCAGGAGGGACCGTGCTGGTTTTGCTTACATTGATTCCCCTAACACAGTGGCTGTCCCATAGTAGGTGGTCCACACATGTGTTACGTAAAGAATGGTGACACTGCAGCTTTCAGAGTCCCTCCAAGGGCGGGCAATATGACTCAGACAGATGGCTGGTACTAGGGTCAGGCAAGAGAGGCGCCTAGGCCACAATATTTAGGGAGGCATTTAGCCATCTCCAAACCGCTGGTGCCAGCCTCAGTTTCTGCATTTCATTGACATCACCAAATGCCAGCCACAGGGAGTGAGGGCAGACTACAGGAAAAAGACTTGAGATTTCAAAGAAGTGCCGGCTCAGCTTCCTGGGCCTACATCTGGAAAGCTGATCTGTGCAGAGGACGGATGCATCTCCCACGCACACAGGCATCTGGCTCCCAAAATAGTCTCAAGAATACCCCTCGGCAGCTGAGCTGATGTGTATTTTCATACCCGCCTGATGTTGTTTTGCTTCTGCAGGCTCATTACAGGAACAGGAAAGAGAAATGGACTAATTGTCCCAATTGTGGACATAATGGGGGGATTCTTACCTTTGCAGGCTGCTGCTCACATGGGGAATTTGCAATGGAAATCTCAGGGCCCTTTGGTTACACAGTTCTCAGCTGATGAGGTGCTTTGCAGCAATTGTCTGTGTGGCTGGTGGGGCTGACTGGCTGATGGAATGTGGTCTAATGGCCTCATCAGAGGCTCTTGTGAGACCATGGTCCCCCTTACAGAAGACGGGCAAGGGTGCCGCTCCCATTCCGGCGCACCTGGGCCGGGAACCAAATGAACAGGAAGTTCCCAGGAGCTCCTGCTGTACCCGACACACCACCCGCTACCTGGGAGCTGCCTCCCATCCTGCCTGGATGCAGCTCCACTTGCTTTGAGGAGAGGGTCTTGGGGAGCCTGGCCCAGGAAGACCTTGACCCTCCTTGTGGAGAAATCCAGGCCCAGAGTCCTAAAGATTTGGGAGCAGCAAACTGTGGGCTGTGCCTCCCTCCCTGTATGCTCTTCCTCTTCAGTGTGTTCTTCAGGGACCAGATTGGGCTCCCCCTCCTTCAGGAAGCCCTCCCTGATGCCTCCAGCCCATGCTGGCCTCTTCCTTTCCTAACTCCTGACCCAAGCTCTGCAGGGCAGGGTAGGGCTGGGGAGAAGCATGGACCTTAGTGGCAGAGACTTGAGTTTGAGCCTCCTCTGGCCTCCCAGGTTGTTTGATCTTGGGCAAATCACTTGACTTCTCTGAGACTCCATTTCCTCCAGGTAGAATGATGTATTTGAATTCACTCATTCACACAAGCACGCATGCATGCATTCTGTGGTAACGGAAATTAAGGTATAGTTTTGTTAAGGCACAGTGGGAATGTGAGGAATGATGTTCTGGCTCAGCTCCCCTCCTGGGACCCCTGCCCTCGGTGTCCTCGGCAGAGTGCCCACCCTTCTGGGCCTCCTGGGACCCACCTGATGACACATGTTCGGGAAGCTGGCTCCCTGGAAGAATGTGGGGATTCTGGGATCTCTGCTCCCCTGGGGAGATACCAGGCAGTCCCCTCTCAGCCTCCTCCTGAGAGCCCAGGATGCAGTGGATGGAGCACTGGCCTGGGAGTCACAGGGCTCTGGCTTCAGACCCTGCTTTTCCCCACTGCAGCCCCCTAGGCGGGCCACAGCCCACCTGTCAGTCCCTGTGTCTGGGCCTCTACAGTGGGGCTAATAATGCTCAGGTACTGACTATGGATTGCACATTGACCGTGTGCCAGTCACAAAGCTGAATTCTTATCCCAGTGATTCCTCACCTCAGTCCTGTGAGCTGGGTCACTGTGCAGATGAGAAACCCCAGCCCCAAGGAGGAGACATGGTTTGCCCAAGATCACACAGCCAGTAAATGGCAGAGTATCAAAATCTCACATGTACTCCATAAATACATACAAATATTACGAATCAATATAAAATTTAAGACAAAGAGCCAGGATTTCAGTGCTGCCTCCTCCAATAGGCTCATCCATGCTGTGTGGACACGTTGTGAACTGTAAAGCTCGGTGGATGTGTGCGGAGTTACTGTTCCTGTCCTTCTAGCCGAGTGTCCACTGGCCAGGGAAACAGGGTCCCAGACCTCATCTCTGCAGCTGTGAGCCCATTTCCAGTATCTCCTGGGGTTGGTGTTTCTGCACAGAAACACAACCACCTCCCTGAGCCCTGCCGTCCTCCTCCAAGGGCCCAGTGGGTAGACGCTGCTGCTGCCATGGGGAAGCAGCTGATTGTTCAGTAAGTTTTAATTTCCAGAGCCATGGTGCCCATTAGGCTGTCTGCAGCTTGTGTGCGGTGGGTGGGAAGCAGAGAGGGAGAAATGGCCAGGCTCATTCATATTTTTTCCTTGATTGCCCAAATGTTTACTTGGCATCTATTGTATGTCAGGTACTATGTTTTCTGGTGGTGGCTACAGAGCAGAATTGGGACTCATTCATTGGTTTACGAGTGACAGAAACACATTGCAAACTGACCCAAACAAAAAGAATTGCATTGGCTTATGAAACCGAAACATCTGGGAGACTGCCGGCTTCGAGTCAGCCTTGATCCAGGGGCTCAAGCAGTTGTACCTAGCCTGTGCAGGCAGGTGTACAGTAGAAAGCAAAACAGACAAGGGTCTGTGTCTTCTGAGGCTCACGTTCTATCTGTCCTGACCATCTCTCTTTTTTTGATTTTACTCCATCTTTCAGAGATTTGTCTATCTGTGTCGGCTTTCTTTTAGACAGCCTCCTCCTGCAATGGGCACCTGCACTTCCAGTCTTATAGTCTACCAGCTTAGCAACCATAAGGAAAGGAAAGAAAGAGCCTCTTTCATGCTATTTTCGCAAGTCCAAGGGCAAACTCTGATTGGATGAACCTGGAACGCATGCCCATCTCTGAGTCAATCACTAAATTCAGTGGAATGGAAGTCACTGATTGGCCAGGCCTGAGTCACGTGTTTATCCTTAGCGCCAGTGGTGCAGGGCTGGGCTCTGTCCTGGTCAAAGAACCTAGACAAAGAGTATGTGGTAGGCAAGAGGCACAGTTTCCAAAGGAAAAGTTAAAGAATGTTAGACGTGGTGAGAGGATCGTGAGCAGGTAAACACAATGTTATTGCACAGAGTGAACCTAATTCCTGCCTCTTGCTTGGCAGCTGGGCTGGGATGGCCAAAGTCAACTGGACTTATGTGAGTGACCCTGAGGAACCTCTGCAATCGGAGGGCAATGATGCACCTGCAGTCTAGCACCACCCCTGGACTGCGACCTCCTGGCTCAGGTGACCATACCTGCCTTCAGTCCACCCCAGCTGAGCCAGCCCGCATCTGAGGGGTGAGGGTGGGCAGAGCTGTCCTGATGCTGCTGGGCCCACAGAGCACATGTTGGCTCAACTACTCCCTGGCTGTGAGACCCTGAGTAAGTTTCCCAACTTCTCTGAGTTTCAGAGTCCTCGTCTATAAAATGGGAATGATCAAACAGACTTTGTAGCAGGGAGCGTTGCTGTGAAAGCTAATGACAACACCTGTGACTCAGCACACACTAGGTACTGACTGAGTAGCGCTGTCGACAGCAGGTGCTCGTGGAATGGCAGCCATTGCTGGGACCTCTTGTCTGGTGCTTTGCAGGTGGGTGATGTGTGTTGCTGACGGGTCTGCCTCTGCCATCTGACCATGACCTCCTCAAGCAAAGGAACATGAGCGATCTTTCTCTGAGGCCAGAGCCCTGCCCACGGCCCGGCACTCCAGGATGGATCTGCTGAGTCATTGGAAACTGCCTTTGGGAGGATGAAGGACAGGGAGGGAGCTTCGTGGTCATTGTCCAAACAGCAGCCAGACCCTGAACCTCTCTTGGTCGTCTATTCACAGTGCACGTGTCTCAGCAGGACACAAGTTTCTTGGCAGCAGAGGGGAGTTATTTAAAGTCCCTGTTAAAACAGCTGAACCTTGATAGAACAGAGCAGTTGTCAGCGCTGGGACCCCAGAGGTGCCTGAGAAGGGTAGGACACATGGGCAGAATTTATTCCCAGCTTTTCAGAGACACTTTGCTTATACTGTGCTCAGGGTGTGAAGATGCCAACTGGCCCCAGTGGCATGAAAGGGCAGCCTTGCGCTCACAGCAGGTAGGCCTTTGTGAGTGACACTTCTGTCCTGGGGATGTGGGCAGCCTTATCTGACTTTTCCTTTAATCTCTTCTTAGAAGTTTGCAGAGAGCTGGGCTGTGAACTGTAGAAATGTGAGGAGATGCTGTTTTGGCAAAAGCAAAAAATAGACATCACCAGCAGCCACTGGATTAATCTGTCCGACCAGCATAGACACCTACTGTGTGCTGGGCCCTGGTCTTACTGCTTTACAAAGAGCTCCGGAGAAGGAGGCTGGTGCATAGGAGACTCCTGATAATTCTTAGCTGTACTGTAATCATGATGACGATGACAATGACAATAGATACTGGTGATGGTGACACTTGCTCCCCCATTCCCACATCCAGTCTCCCGTCATCAGGTGTCAGCGCCTCCTTACTGGTCCATGTCCCCCAAGGCTCCGTCACCAAGGAGGGGCTTCATTCTTTCTCACTGGTTTAGTTGATCCTGTGACCCACGTATCAGAGGAGGGGGACATTCGCTTTGGTCAGGACTTCACCTTGCTCAGCTCACACTGGGAACTAAAGCTCCCCGGTCCAGGCCAGCGCTGACCAGCATGAGCTTGTGTCTTTTGGTTTCTGGTTGTGGTGCTCACGGTTCATAATCTGACCAAGGCTGATTCTCCTTTCTCACCTCCCGAGGAGAGACCATCATAACAGACCTAGCACCATTTTCCTGTGGCTATCTGGGCACAGTTTTCCTATACAGACTTATGAATTCTTGGACCACCAAAGGAGGGAGGAACGAGGGGATCATCTGGTCCAACCCCCTCACGGTACAGCTGGTGAAACTGAGGCCCACTGTGGGTACATGATCTGTCAGGATCATACAGTACATTGGTGGCAGTGCAGAGGCCAGGACTCACTCTTCTGTCCTGCAGCCGATCCTTTCCCAGCTCTACCTTAGCCCACATGAATTTTAGGCCTGGAGTGCTGGTTGGGCCCAGTATTTCAAGTCTAGGACAGACAAGGGAGGGGCAAATTTAAGTATAAATTGTCTTAGCCTTTTTGGGATTGCTATAACAAAATACCATAAATCGAGTAGTTGATCAACAACAGAAATGTAATTGTCACAGTTCTGGAGGCTGAAACATCCAGGATCAAAGTGCTGGCAGGTTTGGCATCTAGTGGGGGACAGCTTTCTGGTAGAGATGGCACCTTCTTGCCGTGTCCTGACATGGCTGAAGGGAAGGGACGAGGGAGCTGTCTGGGGTCCCTTTGATAAGAGTGGTAGATGGGACCGGGCACAGTGGCTCACGCCTGTAATCCCAACACTTTGAGAAGTTGAGGCAGGTGGATCACCTGAGGTAGGGAGTTCGAGACCAACCTGGTCAACATAGTGAAACCCCATCTTTACTAAAAATACAAAAATTAGGCAGGTGTGTTAGTATGCACCTGTAATCCCAGCTACTTGGGAGACTGAGGCACGAGAATAGCTTGAACCCAGGGAGCAGAGGCTGCAGAGAACCGAGATCATGCCTCTGCACTCTAGCCTGGGAAATAGAGCAAGACTCTGTCTTAAAAAAAAGAGAGAGAGAGAGAGAGAGAGAGATGGATGGCTGTGAGGCTGTCACTGTGGAGGCCATGTCATAATGGGCTGAAGTGTTTTCAGTGGAGGGGAAATGGGGGTGGGGCTGGCAGGGGCTCCCATGGCATGAACCCCATTCATGAACACCATCTCCACGACTTAGTCACCTCTCAAAGGCCCCACCTTCTAATACCATCATCTTGGGGGGTGAGATTTCAACATGTGGTTTTGGGGGGACACTAACATTCAGACCATAGCAGGAGGTGTGAACCTCAGTGGAGAGCAGGAAAATTAAACTTTGTTAATAAAGGCCTCACATTAGGCCCCTTATGCTCTGAAGGGGCCAGTGAATGAGTTTCTCCAGTCGTGACTGGGGCCAATAAACAGACTTACCCCAGTGAATGCCATGGCAGTCTGGAATGAAATTGTGGTGGAAGGGCTGGGTGCGGTGGCTCATGCCTCTAATCCCAACACTTTGGGAGGTCATGGCAGCAGGATTGCTTGAGGCCAGGAGTTCGAGGCCAGCCTGAGCAACATAGCAAAATCTCCATCTCTACAAAAAATAAAAAAGTTAGTAGGGTGTGATGGTGCATACCTGTGGTCCCAGCTACTTGGGAGGCGAGAGTGGGAGAATCACTTGAACCTAGGACTTCATGGCTGCAGTAAGCTGCGATTGCACCACTGCACTCCAGCCTGGGCTACAGAATGAGACCCTGTCTCTAAAAAAATAAATATGTAAAATGAAAGAAATTGTGATGGGCTCATGATTAAATGAGAAGAATAAGGTCACTGTAGCTGTAACTGTCAGTGTCAAGTAGCCATGTGTCCTTTGTTGGAAAGGCCATTTACCATGAAATGTGTTGTTTTTACTTTTGGTTCAACTTTCCCTTTTTAATGAAAGGATTGTGAGAGTCAGTTTTAGTTGCTGCTCTGGAACTTTCTTTCTTTCTGTTTTTTTTTTTTTTTTTTAGACACAGTCTCACTCTGTCGCCCAGGCTGGAGTGCAGTGGCATGATCTTGGCTCACTGCAACCTCCGCCTCCCGAGTTCAAGCAATTCTCTGCCTCAGCCTCCTGAGTAGCTGGGATTACAGGTGCATGCCACCGCAACTGGCTATTTTTTGTGTTTTTAGTAGAGATGGGGTTTCACCATCTTGGCCAGGCTAGTCTTGAACTCCTGACCTCATGATCCATCTACCTCGGCCTCCCAAAGTGCTGGGATTACAGGCGTGAGCCACTGCGCCCGACCCTGCTCTAGAACTTTCTTTGCAACCTCTGGAGAGTTTTCATAATGCAAGACATCTCTAAGTGTTCAGGACACTGTGTTTTGCAAGTAATGTTCCTCAAACATATTCAGCCATTGTTCTCAAAACATCGGTTACCACCACCCAGAACTTGTGTTCTCCTGAGCCCAGTTTGGGAAATGCTGGCCTTTAAAAATCAGCATGATCAGTGAATGAACATTCGCAGAATTGACTGGGCTTTCCTGAGCGCCTGCACCCAGTGTCAGGAGGTGTGGGCCTGTGAGCATGTGCCTACTGTGTTCCTCTGTTCTATGTGGTGGTAAATCTCCCTGCAGAGGCACAGTGATTTTGGAGT